CACTCTGTCCTCTAGGGGCGCTGTGGGTCAGAATCCACTCCACAGCAGTGGGTGTGGTTTGGGCTTTGCTTCTGTGAAGATTGACAGCCTGGGAGACCCTGTGGGCAGTTCCACTCTGTCCTCTAGGGGCGCTGTGAGTCAGAATGGACTCCACGGCAGTGGGTGTGGTTTGGGCTTTGCTTCTGTAGAGATTGACAGCCTGGGAGACCCTGTGGGCAGTTCCACTCTGTCCTCTAGGGGCGCTGTGAGTCAGAATCGACTACATGGCAGTGGGTGTGGTTTGGGCTTTGCTTCTGTGAAGATTGACAGCCTGGGAGACCCTGTGAGCAGTTCCACTCTGTCCTCTAGGGGCGCTGTGAGTCAGAATGGACTCGACGGCAGTGGGTGTGGTTTTGGCTTTGCTTCTGTGGAGATTGACAGCCTGGGAGACCCTGTGGGGCAGTTCCACTCTGTCCTCTAGGGGCTCTGTGAGTCAGAATGGACTCCACGGCAGTGGGTGTGGTTTGTGCTTTGCTTCTGTGAAGATTGACAGCCTGGGAAACCCTGTGGGGCAGTCCACTCTGTCCTCTAGGGGCGCTGTGGGTCAGAATGGACTCCATGGCAGTGGGTGTGGTTTGGGCTTTACTTCCGTGAAGATTGACAGCCTTGGAGACCCTGTGGTGCAGTTCCACTCTGTCCTCTAGGGCGCTGTGAGTCAGAATGGACTCCACAGCAGTGGGTGTGGTTTGGGCTTTGCTTCTGTGAAGATTGACAGCCTTGGAGACCCTATGGGGCAGTCCACTCTGTCCTCTAGGGGCGCTGTGGGTCAGAATGGACTCCATGGCAGTGGGTGTGGCTTGGGCTTTGCTTCTGTGGAGATTGACAGCCTGGGAAACCCAATGGGACTCTCTATGAGTTAGAATCTACCTAGTACTGGTGGGTTTTTAAGGCAGCCTTACTGCTGTTTTGCCTGTTAGTCTGTAAGTGGCATTAACACCTCTGTCTACACAGAACAAGAAACGCCGAGAGCGACGAGACTTGTTAAGGCTACAGCTGCTCCGGATTTTTGAACTTCTGGCCGACGCTGGTGTGATAAGTGACAGGTAGGCGGGATCAAAATCCTTCCCAGCCGCTCTCCTCATCTGAGGGGTCTTTTTTGTCTCCCTCCCTTTCTTGTTTTCTGTGTTCTTTTTTCTTTCTACTTAACATATCACTTTTAAATTTGCTCCTAAAAGTCTCAAACAACTTGCCTTTTTTATTTTTAATTTCCCAATCCTGTTTATGTCCAATATTGATGAGTTAGGAACAAATTTAATGAGAAGTTCTGACAGTGGGTCTTATTTTTCGTTAAGCATGCACGACCGAATTTATACACAAATAACATTCTTGAAACACGTTTTTTGCCAGCTGCACAACCACACCCTGCTATTATTTTTGTGAGAGCATTATGCCAGTTTCCATGCGTTGTGTGTGTGGGCGCGTTATTTACTCGGGCGTGCTGTGTGCGGAAATACGGTGCTCTGACGTTAAGACCCGCAGCCTAAAAGCCTGACTTTCCTTCATTCCAGCACTAACGGGGCCTTAGAGCGAGACACGTTAGCCCTCGGTGCTCTGTTCTTGGAATATGTGGACTTGACGCGCATGCTCCTAGAAGCTGAGAACGATAAGGAAGCAGAGATCCTGAAAGATATCCGCGCACATTTTAGCGCCATGGTCGCCAACTTGATCCAGTGTGTTCCAGGTACGCGATGCCTCCTTGCCCGTTCCTTTCCCGACTCGAGAAGCCACGTGTGTTCCGCCTGTCTCTGCTTCCTCTGTAACCCAGGCGGCCTGTGCGCGGGTCTGGACTGCAGTCTGTATGTATTTTGAGGTAGAGTGCGACCTGTGAAAGCCAGAACCTGTGTTAGGCGGAACCCTGCCAGAGAAGGAAAACGCAAAGACTTCCCGCTCATAGAGTGATAGGAAAGTGGTCAGAGCGCATCCTGGCAAAGCCGGAAGGCTCGCAAGACCCAGAACGACAAGGCAGTTCCTCGGAGGTCCAGCTCCCACCAGTTTCAGCGCGTTTGGAAGTGTGTAAGAGAACAGCCTGCGGTAACTCGGCACAGAGCTGGAAAGGGAACAGTCGGAATTAAACGTGACCGGGTGCCTGTCATGCTCTCACTGTTTGGGGTCCCATCTGAAAGTGAGCCTGCGGTTTGTGGGGGAAGCAAGCAATTCAGAGGGAACGTGCATTCAGAAAGTCTGCGTTTCTGACATGGAACAAAACTCTAAAGCATAAAAAGACCAGGCTTGACTGGTCTGATAGAGCCCGGAGAGACCCTCAGACCGTGACCCCTAGTCACCCTTCAGGTCTGGAATTGAACTCACTCCTGTGGCTTCCAGCCAAACAACAGACAGACATATGGGGTGAACATTGACATCAGGTTGATACACTCCTTAGAAGGATCGAGCACGGGAGAACAGAAGGGCAGTGTTTGCACAGGGTGACGGCAGGAATGCATAGGAAAGAAGGACATAGGAAAGATGTAACCTCAGGCAGGAAGTGGGAAGAGAGGTGTTCCACTGTGGGGACTACAGTCAGTGTTAGGAAACAAAATGTGTATGAACTGCTGCATGGAAAATGAATTTGCTCTGTAAACTCTCACCCAAATCACGATTATTTTAAAAAAACACATTTCTTCACGTCTCATGGAGCTAACCTGTGACTGCGTTGTCTCCCCAATCAAGGAGCTCTGGTGGCGCGGTGCCTAAGGTATTTGACCGCTAACCAGAAGGTTGGTGGTTCAGACCCACCAGCTGCACTATAGAAGGAAGATGGGACAATCTACTTCCATAAAGATTTACTGCCTCAGAAACCCGTGGGAGTCACTACGAGTCAGAGCTACCAGTCAACACATTAAACAGAATCGCTTTGGCGGTGAAACCTGTGAGAACTGGAACTCAACAGGACAGCCTTATTTTCCAGCGTCTTCTCACAGGCTTTCCGCCCTTGGCAGCGTGCCATCTTACCACTGTTCTTTCGCTCATTTCAGTGGACAATTTTTTTAACTTGTGATTTGGGTGAAAGTTTACAGAGCAGATTTCTTTTCCATTAAACATTTCATGCACATTTTGTTTTGTGACACTGGTTACAATTCCCACAGCGTAACAGCTCTCCTCCCACCTCCTCCCTGGTCACCCCTTCCCTGTGTCCTCCTTGCCCCTGCATTCCTGCCTCCCTGCCCTTCTCCCTGTGCAAATACTGCCCTTCTGATCTCCCACGGTTGACTGTCCTAAGGGGTGCATCTCCCTGGGGTAGGTGTTCAGCTTGTAGGCCTGGGAGTTAAGCCACAGGAGGAAGTTACTGGAAAATGTTTGAGTTTTCCTTTGACAGGTGTTAGCCTTCCCCAGTTTCTGGCTTTCACAGGTTTTCCTGTAGCTTAATTTTATGCTTGGTTAAATACTACATTAACAGGTGAGTGGGTTTGAAGCTTTCTCAAATAGAAATACAAAGAATGAAACTTGGTCAATGTGGTATTAAGATCGATGATTTAATAAAAAAAATTTTGGTGTAATTACAAAAAGTGACAACTCAATGAACATTTCTAGAGTTTCATTAATTTGATGCTATATAAGCTTTATCTTACCAATCCCTCTCATCCCTGAAGGCCGTACTAATTAAGGTTTGAATTGATTTCTTCAGTTAAATGGAGGTATATTTGTTTAAGAGGAGTTCTGGTGGTGCAGAGGTTAAAGCATATGACTGTTCACCAAAAGGTTAGTGGTTTGAGCCCACCAGCTACTCTGAGGGAGAAAGATGAGGCATTCAGCTTCCATACAGATGACAGCCTTGGAGACCCTGTGGGGCAGTTCCACTCTGTCCTCTAGGGGCGCTGTGGGTCAGAATCAACTCCACAGCAGTGGGTGTGGCTTGGGGGTATTTTTTGATACGTGTTTAAAATAGACAGTCTACGTGTTGTATTTCACAGCTCTTCCTAAAGACCAGCAGCTGTCAACAAAACTGTATCCAAGCAGCAGCTGAGTGGAAAGTGGTGTGGATTCCTACGCACTGGTGTCTGCAGCCTCTTTTTCTTTCTCTCCCACTCTGTGTCCCGGTGCTTTTGTGTGCAAACTGAGGAACAGGAAAGAACCCACTTGAAAGGAAAGTTAGTCTTAAATTTTGAAAACCTGTTGCCTCACCCAGGGAAACTTGAGTTAGAGAGGGAAGAGAGAGAGTCGGGAGGAGGAGGCTGTGGGATGTGCGGCTGGTTGCCTCTGTGAACAACCACCTCCTTTGCCATAAGACAGGAGAGCTAGACTCCAGGCTTGTAAAGCCCTGAAGCTGAAGGACCCCCAGAACGATTGCCTGAGCTCATCTTTACACTTTAAACCAAAAATATCCCTGAAGACTTCTTAAAACCAGACGGTTATTTAGCTTAATTGGTGAAGAATTTGCCTTGAACCCTGTGCTTTTTCAAAGAACTATAAGTAAGGGGTCACACTGACAACAGCAATTCGGAAGGTTAGAGAGGAAACGTAGGGGGCAGTGAGTTTATGTTAATCAGACCAAACTCACTGCCACCGAGTCAGTTCTGACTCATAGCGACCCTTCCTTGGGTTCCCGAGGCAGTATTTCTATGGAAGTAGATTGCCCAGTCTTCTTTCTGAGGAGTGGCTGGTGGGTTTGAACCACCAGCCATGGGGTTAGCAGTCAAATGCCTTGGAGGCTATGCCACCAGAAATGGGGGAGGAAAAACTCAGAAAAGGAAGTTGAGAACAGTTGCACAACTCAAAGAATGGAATGTATGTGGAGAAACTGTTGAGTTGGTGTGTTCTGCTGTGTAGATTTCCAACAACAGTTAAAAAGAAAACTTGAGCTGATCCGCGACGCTGTTCCTTCCCCCAGGATTCAGATCCATGCGGGCCAGCGCAGTGGATGACCCGCTCTGCCCTGCCGCCTGTCACAGTCTGCGTCTTTGTCTTTCTCCCCAGTTCACCACCGGCGGTTCCTTTTCCCCCAGCAAAGCCTGCGTCACCATCTCTTCATCTTATTTAGCCAGTGGGCAGGTCCCTTCAGCATCATGTTCACTCCTCTGGACCGGTACAGCGACAGAAACCATCAGATCACAAGATACCAGTATTGCGCACTGAAGGTCAGACATACTACTCTCTGCATGACTTCTGTCGGGTTGACGGTCACTTTTCTTAAATTCTGACCACCGTGACTTTCAAACGACGTTAAAGTGTGATGGGATAGGATACGGTACAATATATGACATCATACGTGATGTAATGGAATACACACACGGTGTGAGATCATGTGATTTGATTTGATATTTGCTACAGTGTAATATGGCATGATACATGGCACGTAGAGATACCACCTCGGAAACCCAAGGAAGGGTCGCTGTGAGTCGAGACCGACTCAATGGCAGTGAGTTTTGTTTTGTTTTGATGATAGTGATACACACACAAATATAAATGCAGAAAATGCCTCTAACATTTCCACGCTACACACACACACACATATATAGATGGGTCGATAAAAAGATATTTAAATAATTATTTCAGTTGGGCTTGCAACATCAAAACGCAAACATTTTCCGAGCTCCTGCTTTCGTCCAGTGTCCGTCCTGTATGAGAACCCTGTTTTTGCTCTTTCACCCCTAAAGTCACTGCCTTGACAATTAATTTCCAACCTTAAAAATATAGGTGCTTCAAGTTCAAAGCCTGCCAAGAGCTGCATGGCCTCTCTTCAGCTTCCTGTTACCCTAGAAGGTTGGCAGAAATCACTCTTCATGTTTCCTGGGTTCAGAATCTTCCCAAGTGTAATTCCTTACAACCCGGCTTCCTTTGGAAGTTCAGCTGTGGGTTGGCTCTGACGCATGTACCCTAAGATGCTGCCTCCTGGGCTGGCTTCCGAGTCCATGGAGCTGCCTTGAACCATCGCCCGGATGCTCAGATGCCCCTGCTGATGGGAAAGCTCATCAGGCTTGCCCCTTCTCGCCCCTGCCCCCAGCTCCCCGTGTCCCTCCCTGCCTCCCTCTCCATTCCCCGTGGCCCCTAAACTCAAGTTTACCTTCTGGATCTTCTGACACCTTTGACCAAGGACTGGGCATCAGTTTTTCTTCTTTCCGGTTTTGTCATTTCAGTACATTCATCAAATAGTCCGCATTGGAGCCAAATTTGAGACAAGACATTCATCTCATAAGCAGAATTCGTTCACTTGAAATTGTTAAAGAAAAGTTTATGTTAAATTCCGGGCAGTGGTCATTTTGCTTTAAATATGTTACTCTTTCATTGTAAAGATTTGTTATAATCACAAAATCACATGGCCAGAACTAAATTGATTAATTTGCACTTATTTTCTTGAGTAATAGGAGCTCTGGTAGCATAGTGCGTAAGGCACTTGACTGCTAACCAGAAGGCTGGCTGTTCAAACCCACCAGCCACTCCTCAGAAGGAAGACTGGGCAATCTACTTCCGTAGAGATACTGCCTTGGAAACCCAAGGAGGGGTTGCTATGAGTTGCATCCGACTCAACAGCAGTGCATTTTGAGATATTTTACATAACTGAGTGTGTTCAAAATATTAGCAGTTCAACCTGTAATCAACATAGCTATTTATTAATGAGATACTCATTTCACTTTTTTATACAAAGTCTTAGAATCCAGTGTGTATCTTACACTTTGAGCACATCCGTATTTGGATTGGTCAGATTTCAAGGCTCAACAGCCATGGTTTTCAACTCTTAGAAAAAGATGTGAAATCTGGAAGCCATTTTTTTTTTCCCCTAGAATCCACTAGATAATGCTTTTAAAATATTGTGGAAAAGAATGGTTTTGAAAGGCCGTCCTCGTTTGTAAATCAGATGGCTAAGTTTTACACAGTCAGGTGAACACATTCATGTTCCAGGTCTCATTTCCATGTCTTGTTGGCTTTCCCTCAGGCGATGTCGGCCGTGTTATGCTGTGGCCCTGTCTTTGACAATGTGGGTCTCTCTCCAGACGGTTACCTGTATAAGTGGCTTGACAATATTCTGGCTTGTCAAGATTTACGAGTAAGTATCGGCCAAAAGTAAGGCGCTCTGGTGGCGCAGAGGTTAAGGCATTTGACTGCTAACTGGAAGGTTGGTGGTTCAATCCCATCAGCTGTTCCATGGCAGGAAGACTGGGCAATCTACTTCCATAAAGATTTACTTGGAAACACAATGGGGGTTACTATGAGTCAGAATTGACGTGATGGCAGTGAGTTTGGTTTTGGTATTTTGGAACTGGCCCAAAAGTATATCGTTTTTCAACATCTCTGGTCTTGTACCTCAGTTGAGTTACAGAGACCTGTAAGCATTGCTCACGACCACAATCTCTTCACACACTAACTATAGGAGTGTAGGTTGATACGTTATTTCTGTTAAACTGTATTGTGTAGTGCACTGGGTAAAGCGTTGGGCTGCTAACCAAAAGGTCCACAGTTCAAAGCCACCAGCTGCTCCATGGGAGAAGATGAGGCAGTCTGCTCCCTGAAAGACTGACAGCCGTGGAAACCCTGTTGGGGTTGCTATGAGTCTGAATCAACTCGATGGCAGTGAGTTATATTGCGTAAGGATCAAAAACACAGTAACAGCAAAACTGATTATAAACTAAGTCGTAAAGCAAATGTCAACAAAGTTCAAAGAACTGAAAAGATGAATACACAGTGTATTCTCTAATCAGTGAAATTAAGCTCATCAGTCACAAAATATAATTTAGAAGCACATTCTGTACTGGAAGTGAAATATCTCAAAGAGAATGAATGAGAAGGATAAGTAAGACAACGGAAAATGTAACCATTGAGATGGAACCTAATTGGCTGTGTAGACTTTGAGGGGGGGAAAAAAGTATTATTTAAAAAAAAAGGTACTTTCAGTTAACCAGTGAGTCAAAGAAGAAATAATAATGCAAAGTGGAAAATGCTTTCACCTGAAGAATAATGAAAATACTAGATACTGAACTTATAAGCTGCAAATAAATGCATGCTTGGAATGAGATGTGTAGCAGTGAATGTATGTACAGAAATGAGAGAAGGGTATTGAGCAGTGACCCAAGCATCCATCACAAAAAAGGAAGGAAGCAGTAGAGATAAAGGAAGAAAAAAGGCATAAAAAAGAAAATATGAAGGAAAGAATCATCACACCCGAAAGTGACTGTTCAAAAAGACGAAGAAAATTGATAAATCCATGGAAAGGCTGATCAAGAGCCAAAGAGAGAAGACACATGGAACCACCATTAGAAATGTTAAAGGGTACATACTATGTACGCTACAGACATTAAAAATACATGAGAGCATGTGAAGACCTCTGTTCTCAAGTGTTAGGTGTTGCCAAGTCAGTTCCGACTCGGCACCCCTACGTTGTTATTGTTGTTAGTTGCCAGCAAGTCTACTCTGACTCATAGGGACCCTGTGTACAACAGAACAGTCTTGTGCCAGCCTCACAATCCTTGCTATACCTGAGCCCATCACTGCATTCCCCAGGGAATGGCCCCTTCTGACAACATGACTGAACAAAATTCCTCACAGCTGGGCCAATAAGCAGCATCACAATAAATGGAGGAAAGATTGAAGTTGTCCAGGATTTTTTATTCCTTGGTTCCACGATCAACACCCATCAAAGCAGCAGTCAAGAAATCAGACAACGTATTGCACTGGGCAAATCTGCTGCAAGAGATCTCTTTAAAGTGCTGAAGGGCAGAGATGTCTCTTTGAAGACTAAGGTGCACCTAACCCAAGCTGTCGTGTTTTCATTCACCTCCTGTGTTTGTGAAAGCTGGGCAGTGAATAAGGAAGACTGAAGAAGAATTGATGCTTTTGAGTTGTGGTATTGATGAAGAACATTGAAGTGCCATGGACTGCCAGAAGAATGAACAAATCTGTCCTGGAAGAAGTGCAGCCGGAATGCTCCTTGGAAGCGAGAATGGCCAGACTTCCTCTCGCCTACTTGGGTCATGTTGTCAGAAGGGACCATTCCCTGGAGAAGGATGTCATGCTTGGCAAAGTGGAGGGTCGACGAAAGAGGGGAAGGCCCTCAACGAGATGAATTGACACAATAGCTACGATGCTGGGCTTAGGTATAGCAAGGATTGTGAGGCTGGCACAGGACCAGGCAGTGTTTTGTTCTGCTGTGCATGGGGCGCTATGAGTTGGAGCTGACTCGACCACACCTAACAACTACACATATGCCAGAATCTGTCTTTCTCCACCTGATTCAAACTGGCACAAGAGTGGACAGCTTCGAAAGGACACAGGAAAAACGTTACTTTCTGAGGGGAATATACCGTAGGGACACTAGGCTTCTCCTGGGAGACATGTACGCTCACTGACCACTTGCTGTTTGACAGTAACTTCAAGAATCGTCAGTTAGTTGTTGTTGGGTGTTATCAAGTCAATTCCAACTCATGATGACCCCAAGTGGCAGAGAACTGCCCAATAGGGTTTCCTAAGCTGTAATCTTTGTGGGAGACATTGTCAAAACCAAAGTGGTTGTCTTCAAGTCTGTTCCGACTCATAGCAACCCTGTAGGACAGAGTGGAACTGCCCCACAGGGTCTCCAAGGCTGTCAGTTTTCACAGAAGCAGAGCCCAAACCACACCCACTGCTGTGGAGTCGATTCTGACCCACAGCACCCCTAGTGGACAGAGTGGAACTGCCCCACAGGGTCTCCAAGGCTGTCAGTTTTCACAGAAGCAGAGCCCAAACCACACCCACTGCTGTGGAGTCCATTCTGACCCACAGTGCCCCTAGAGGACAGAGTGGAACTGCCCCACAGGGT